TAAGGAACAGACCCTGTACTTGTAACAAACTTAAAAACGAAGTTGGATGGATACAAACATTTTTGCGATCTTGAACCTATTCCCGATATTCACCTCGTCTTGCTTTCTAAGATGAAAAAGAAAAAGACCATCTCCCTGCAAAACAATGGGGCCATGAAATATATATTTTTTGCAACTATTTGCATATCTTCATCTTGCCAAATGTAATCATCAAGACCTCTTCTGAGGAACTTCATTTTATACTTTATATCAACATCTAACGTCTCTATGATCCGGCTATTATGTCATGTATTATGTATCATATGCAGCAGCATAGTATTCTTTATTTTTCAGAGACACTTCTTCACAAAATGTATTTTCCTCTGCTTTCATTTCCCAATTCATTTTTTTTTTTTCTGAATAGCTTCCACTTTCAGAGGTTTTGGCATCTTCCATGTTTAGAGCCCTTTTTTATTGCAGTTTTTTATTTTTGCTCTTTTAATAGGCTCTATTCCTACTTGGTGCTGTTCTGTTACTTTATTTTTTTTGACAACTTTGCATATCTTTTGCATCTGAGATTTCTATCTGTTGATGATAACTTTCTGTTTTTATTAGAAAATAGCCAGCACAGTGTTTATTTTTTCACCAACAAATTTTTGTCCTAAACTTTTATTTTTAGAAGGCTAGGGTTTAATATTTTTGAATTATTGTGATCAATGTAATCCTCAATATCTAGTGAATCATAGTTTGAAACTGAATTCAATTATTCCTACACATCATTATTCAGCTCTTCAATGGTATATTCACTGAATAATTTATTTTGGCTTGATAAATCATCTTTTGGTTCAGGATATTTGTACTCAAAATATTCTTCAGGGTATCCCAAAGTGTGACCTCCATATGAATAAAATGGATTTGAATAAAGAAATCCCGCTAAATCGAAATTCTAAACTTACAAATGCAGTCAATTAATATTTTCTATAGGAAGTAATTTAGGTGCAGGCTTTTACCTTCAACGCCGATTCCCTCGTATCCAGTAGCTGGCGCCAGTCCTCGCTCCAGTCTCACTGCATGTCGTTCCAGTTCTGACATCGTGTGAATACTTACCGCAGTGAAAACTCACGATTAATTGAACTCATGTAGACGACCTGGGTCCAGCGCTTTGCCAGCCCAGAATTGGCATGCCAGGCAGCCAGTGAGACTGGCGCCAGCTACTGGATACGTGTAAATCGGCCTTTATGGTGATAATCGCACCACAGTTTGATAACACAGAAAATAACAGTTTAATCGCTAATGAATAACATAAAATAGCAAGAAATTTGTCTGTCAGTCTTTCTCTTTGCCGACTGCGCTGACTCTCACTATTTACAAACAAATAAACGCGCGGCTGCGCATGCGCGGCACACGATTGTACCTTAAAACAGGTGGAAGCGTACGCGATTGCCAATGTGATTGTCAGATTGCGACAGCGATTGCGGGGCTGCAAATGCGATTGCAGGATTGTTTTAAAGCGATTGTGAGATTGCAAACGCGATTGCGGGACTGCGACTGAGATTGCCACGGCAATTTAAGTGATTGCAAGCGATTGTTAAGAATTTGTGACAGTATTGCCTCAAGATGTTACCCCCTCGCTTCCAACTCTTTGTAAACTTATCGAATTTCTACTGCTAATAAATTTCAATAATTTTCCTGGAATTTTTTCAGACTAAAAATATCAACCGACCTTCCTGTTTTTGGACATGAGTATAACACTCAAAAGGGTAACATCCCTTATTGACAATTTTGCCTAATGCCCAGATATTGTTCCTCCGAATCGACCTGATTTTGACAACTCTTATTATTATTAAATATGTAAGTTACAGTTTTTAGATATTAAGACTAATATAACCAAGTTTAGAGGTTGATTGATTCAACGAAAATAATACAACTGGTGCTCATTGTGGTATTTTTTCAATTTTAGTCTTTTTATACCTGAAGATGAAGCGTTGAAGCTTCGAAACCGGTAGTACATAAATAAAGAATTTTTGGGATTTTCAAGACTGTTTTTCTTCAAACCTATCATCTGCCCAAAAAATGGACCCCATACAATCCTTAAAACAGAGTAACTTTTTGATTTCCATCGGCACTGTTTCCAGGGCAACTTTGTGACATATAATTAGTAAATAGAAGAAGCTTATGTTCAACCAACCTAAAAGGATGGATATATCTCCTAATGTGGACGACTTCCTATTGATGGAATTCACATCCCAATTTCTGGCTGAATATGCGGGTGATAAATACTAAATATATTATATCGTATGATATACAATGTTAATTATCAAGCAAATATTTGTTGACATTTCCTATCGTTTCAGACTAAAAATGCTGGGGTTACATTATGTTTTCATTGTAAAAACGTACTGTCACAAAGTTACCCTGCAGCACGGGGTAAAATTGGGACAAGAAATTAAAAAAAGGCTGAATTATCATTATTTTTTCAATTTTCTAGAATTGCCAGTCTGTAGCGAAAGAAAGGATATAGGTATAGTCCGACAAATACCATTTTAAAGTCACGTGATTTTGGTGGCAAAAAACGTGTGTCCATTGATTATGTCGTTGATATCACCTACAAAAAGTTACTGGTGGTTAATAACTATTGAATTTTAAGATATGTTCCCACTAGCATTTTACAAACGCGTTTCTGAAGTAATATTAACCAATCAGATGGGAATTTTAATACTTGCAATTGTTGCGAGACTCACTTTTGACGCGTCTGCTGCCCGTTGTAATTCATTCTGAACTTGAATTAGGTGCTCGTTTTCTATTTGCTTCTTTTCGAGATGGAAAAAGGTTAATATAGTCGAAATTATTAGCTGTGTTTGTTCGTTGTATCATTTTCGAAAATAACTTTGACAAACTAATTGATGACAGTGACGGATTCTATTTCAGGTAAGAATTTTATGAACAATAATTAGACACCAATTTTTTTCTCAATTCTACTATCACCGCTGTTTGAGATGTATTCAACAAGGATAGAGAAAAATCACGTGACTTTAAAATGGTATTTGTTGGACTATATACATGTGGTGTATTTTTTTTCAGAATTTTATATGGCAAAGAAATGTTCGAGAATTTCAAAAAACCTCAAAACATGTCAAAAAGTATCCCCGTTTTACGGTACCTCCAAAAAAGTACTACAGAAATTCCAGTTGCAGATTATAATTACTTTCAATTTAGCGATTTAAAATTTATTTAGTATTTTGAGTACAAATGCACAGTATTGGAATTACTTTTTTTGTAAATCCCAAGTACCAAATGCAAATACTTTATTAAAAGTATTTGCAGATTCAAGAACAAATATCCAAAAACAAAAGTATTTGAATTATAGTACTTGAAATACTAAAAAGTAATTGAAATACATTTTCCAAGTAATTTACTTGAAGTACTGACAGCTCTGTCTAGGTAACAAAAAATATCTGTCTTTCAATTTTAGGAGAGAACAACTTTTTAAAAAAGATAAAGTGAGTATTATTTTTATTGAACAAATCTTTTCAAATTTACCATGTCGCCTTTTTTTTGCAAACTTATTTAGTTTAAATATTTTAAAAATAAAATTAGCAAAAATTTCTGATAAGTATAGGAATTATCTTGTTCCCTAGACCATTTTCATGTGTGTATTTTTTATTCTCTACTAGCGTAGTAAAAAAAAATCCATAAATTCCTCGGTAGAGAAAGTCATTATATACCTTACGCATTATAAACATCGGCGCTTCGCGCCGAGGTTCATAAAAGCGTTCGGTATATAATGACCAACTTCTCTACCTAAGTATATAATGTACTATTTTATTATAGATAGAAAGCTGAAATTTTCAGCGATTCTTATCCGAGTAGAGGACTACAATTCCTGAAAATTTTAGTTCATTTGGACTTATAGCTCTAGAAATAAAATCGTGTTAAGGAATTTGGGGTGATTTATCAATTTTTTAATTTTTCTGAGTGCCTTTTTTCAAATAATCCGACTCCAACTCTCAAAATAATTTTGTGTACGAAGTTTAGGGAGCCTCGAATGATAATTTAGATACAAAATCATAACATAAAAAAAAATCATTATCTTATTGTTAATATTTGTGGTGGTTCCTTTTGTTTTTTAAATAATAAAATACTCGATACTTTAATAAACTTTTAATTAAACTCATTACTCATTATAAACATTTTAGACAGTAATCTTCATTCTTTTTTTTCTCAACAATTCTGCATTGACTTATGACAACTGTCATCAAAAGGAGTGCGTTCGAGAAAACGATTTTTAGTGATTCTCAACACTTATTTCCTACCTTAATTACAATTCATTGATTAAAACTTGTATTAAAAATCATCGATGTATGTGTGTTCCAAAAAGAGAAATGTTAAATTTTACATTTGTATGACCAGTTTTACATTTTCTAAAACATAAAAAAGCCATACCACACAAGCAAAATTACATAGATCAATGCGATAAAACTCGTATACTAAAGCCATTCCCACATTTATATGTCGCAAAATACTGACCTACATAAAAGAGAGAGCGTTCCGGAAAGATAGCCATGATGGATTGCACCAGCAGCCAGCGAGCTCTGTATGCCATATCTCCGTTGACATAAGATAAAAATGCCGCCGGGCACATTTTATGTTTCAAATTTCGCCCGGATATTGGAGATTTTCCTACGGAAATGATGATGTATTTGTCAATTTTGAAGTGAGATCTATACGGATGAACGATATTGGACGTTTTGATATTTTAAATACAAATAGGGTAGATGGTCTTTGAAAATATATATGCATTCGTATTACGTAAACAAAAAAAAATTCATCCATGTTATTTAATGCTAAACCGTTTTTGGCCAATAATACGTGACACACACAGGCACACAGGAAAATAAAAAAAAGATATAGGTATACACATAACGCAGCGGCTGAAAATACATTGTAGCGTTTACATAATAAATATTTTCCTCTGAATATAAATTTTTTTTGCATGTATTAATAGTTTGAAATTCTTTTAGTTGCTCTCTGGAAACACTGATACCTATACGATCATTGAGCAAAGTCTGGATCCACCGATTATTACATCCAAAGTCAGGATATTGCCTTACAGCGATCATGTCCGGACTGTTTGTTTAAGAATTGAACTTACAGGGTGTTCGTATGATGGTAAGAAGATTTTTTTCTGTAATTCAATAATAAGGATTAATTATCCTACCTTTTCTAAATGAAAATTGATTACTCCTGCCCCCAAAAAAAAAATCTAATATTTTTAAATATAAGGGATAATGCCTCCTAAGTGGTTAATTATGACGTGAGAAAGGTATTTAAATTTGGGAAGAACAAAGCAGACGAGACACAATTAAAAAGGAAATTTTAAAAGCCATTTGTTTCATTACAGCAAAAATTACCTTTTAAATTTTACTGTACCGAACCGATCCGTCCAGCAGTAACATAAATAACTCTCTATTTACGAATACGGATAACATTTAATATTATGGTAATAATTTCAGATAGGGAACGCCAGGAGGCGATAAAGTGGAGAGATTTATGGGGAACCACCAAAGGGCATAATATTATGTAAACGGTCTTTAAATCAATAATCTAAAATTAATTGGACAGGAGCCTATCACGGGTTAATTTGCGCCTATAATATGTTCACAATTTTAATGAAGATTAATAAACTTTTTTTTTCTAGATGGCCTTAGCAGCTATAGTATGCCACAAGGAGTGAAAAAAAATGACTTAGATCTAAGTGATCGGAGTTACGATGGATCAGAAGAAAATAGACAACTTATAAATGGATTGGGACAACTTACTGATGGAATAAGGGGCAAGGACAATTTTAGATTGGATATAAACGGACTAGGGAAAGGTACCTATGCATTATATCCAGACTAATGTAGGCTAAGACTTTTCAACACACCCGCCAAAACCATGTTCAACGATTAAAAATTTCTATTAACAGCAAGCTTTAATAAGAAAATCAGGAAGTTGTTAAAAAATTATCGACACTGCGCCAACTTAACGCCCCCTAGTTGAAAGTTGGCAACGAAACACAGGATAGGTGTACAGCGCGGAACTTGGACTGCAATTTCTTTCAAATTTGCATATATATTGGTTTTTGAAAAGTGCGGTGTTACGCTTCAGGAGCTTTGACCAAGACGACGAAAATAACGGAATAGAATTAGATTCAACAATTTTTCTTAACCAATAAATTTATACCCAAAAAAAAAATTCCCATCTGCCATGCTCGCACCTTATGTTTCGCTCGTGTCTGTGTACATAAATTTATATATTTTTTGAGTTAGTCTCGTAAAACTCAAGATGTTCCGTTATCTTTATGTACCCCATTTTATTATTTAGGCTAAACGGCCTGTGGAAATAAAGCTGCCTAGCTCGATATCAATAAATCACTGAATTTTATTGAAATATTAGTCTGGTTGGTGCGTGTATATTCCCTTGGGTTTTTTTTTATTGGTTTTTAGAGTCGATACACGAGGGGTTGAAAAATTAACGAAATTACCTTTTATTTGAAATAAAAATTCTTTTTCAGGATATGAATGGGTTGGTTGGAGAAACGATACTTCTGGATGGGCCGGATTGCCTTTGGAAATTCTATTTGAGTTTGACAAAGTACGAAATTTTTCTGCGGTCCATCTCTATACCAATAATTTGTTTACCAAAGATGTTCAGGTGAGTGAGAATTTTGTTTTTAAATATGTCAAAGTTCCCAAATTTCATAGTTAAAATTTATTTAATCTCACATGTAATAAGTTGCCGTTTTCTGTTTTGCTTGAGATAGTTGGTGAAAATGTTCACCCATCACTAATCTCAGTAGGTATTGATCAAGAAGCTTACAATAAGAACTAAAAATAATGGCTTGACGATTGACTATATTGAATAGATAATACTTAAATGTGGCTCAACTTTCTATCACAAAACCTAGACGAAGCGCAGCTGAGGACTGCATAGCACCAAATTCTGTAAAGATGGCGCCGAGTAAGAAGTACGTGTGTTTATCGTGTCGCAAAAATGTCAACAAAAACCAGTATAGTATAAGATGTGTCGGTTCGTGTGGAGGTTACTTCCATGAAGGATTCTGTGGGCTTTCAAAGAAACAATTTGCCGATTTGCTAAAACAAAGGGATCATAGGTGGAAATGCAAAGTCTATAAAACTAGCAGTCCCAAGGTGGAAAAAAACTTCGGGAACTATATAATAATTAGGTGCTTTTTAGGTGCTAATTAGGGCCTCTAATTAAAAATTAGGTGCTCCTCTAGTTTTTGAGAAAATAAAAAAAAACTAAGGGATTGCTAGGTTTATGAAAGCTAGTAGTCCCCTATAGTGATAAATATTTTTCCAAAAATTTCTTTTGTATCAGAATTAGGTGCTTTTTAGGTGCTCCTAAATAGTCGAAGAAAAAATAGAATTGATTAATTATTAACTGAGTTACAGATTTTTTTTTAATTATTAGGAGACTGCTGGCTTTACGTATAGTTGTTGGTGTGTTAGAATGGCAAAAAAACTTCGGGATCTATATAAAAATTAGGTGCTTTTTAGGTGCTAATTAGGGCCTCTAATTAAAAATTAGGTGCTCCATTAGTTTTTGAGAAAATCGAAAAAATAATAAGTGACTGCTAGGTTTATAAAAGCTAGCAGTCCTCTATAGTAAAAAATATTTTTTTCAAATTTCTTCTTTGTATCAGAATTAGGTGCTTTTTAGGTGCTCTTAAATAGTCCAAGAAAAAATAGAATTGATTAATTATTAACTGAGTTACAGATTTTTTTTTAATTATTAGGAGACTGCTGGCTTTACGTCTAGTTGTTGGTGTGTTAGAATGGCAAAAAAACTTCGGGATCTATATAAAAATTAGGTGCTTTTTAGGTGCTAATTAGGGCCTCTAATTAAAAATTAGGTGCTCCTCTAGTTTTTGAGAAAATCGAAAAAATAATAAGTGACTGCTAGGTTTATAAAAGCTAGCAGTCCTCTATAGTAAAAAATATTTTTTTCAAATTTCTTCTTTGTATCAGAATTAGGTGCTTTTTAGGTGCTCTTAAATAGTCCAAGAAAAAATAGAATTGTTTAATTATTAACTGAGTTACAGATTTTTTTTTAATCATTAGGGGACTGCTAGCTTTACGTTTAAATGTTGGTGTGTCAGAATGGCAAAAAAACTTCGAGATCTATATAATAATTAGGTGCTTTTTAGGTGCTAATTAGGGCCTCTAATTAAAAATTAGGTGCTCCTCTAGTTTTTGAGAAAATCAATCAGTCCATCTTGGGACTGCTAGGTTTATAGACCTGGAAATGCAAAAATTGTAAATTGCAGAAAAGTGTAGAGGTGGGTTGCGATTTCACGAACGGTGACATTGTCACTGCTACTCGTCTATCATAGTCACGGCCTGCTTCAGTCCCAGTCAAGTAGCAGTGACATTTTGTCACTGCCTGCTTCAAACTCCGACCGATGCAGCGCGGCCAAAACTCGAGCTAAGTGATGCAAACGAAATAATATAATATTATAATTCGCATCGCAGTCACGCCAAATAGAAGCTGCTACTGCAGAGGACAGGCTGGAAACTGGAACATCTTCTTGGCCGTGACTGGTGACTGTGATTATGCCATGTTGCGATGTAGCATTACCATAATATTAGCAGTACGGCCGCCAACCAAGGTAAAACTGCTCCAAAAAATCACTGCTATTTGTCACAGTGACATGACTAGAGCAGTCACGTCTTGTCACAGCTCCATTAAAATCGTAGATTGGCCCACCTCTAGAAAAGTGTGGTTAGTAGTGCCAGTGATCAAAACATTGGTAATGACTCCGATCGGAGGATTGTGGCTGCATCCTCTCAAGACGACGAAGATAACCCAACCTCAAAATGACGACAACAAAAACATAAACAAAATAAAAATAAGGAAATTGATGATTTATTGGAAAAAATAAATCCATCAAATAGGAATATAATAAAGTTCTTAGAGGGCAGGTTTAGAAATTTTGAAGACTCTCTCACATTCTACGGCGATTCTCTCGAAGAACTTAAGCAGTCAATTGCGAAACTTTCAAAAGGAAATCAACAACTAAGGGAAGATAAGAATGCAATGGAGCAGCGCATACAAAACCTAGAGGTAGAAGTGAGGAAATATAGCTTTTGAAGAGAGAGAGAGAAAAAAAAGAAAAATATAGTACTATTTGGTGTACCAACTACCAAAGAGAAATGTAAGGAGGATGTTCAGAAATTATTTACAGCACTTCAAGTGAACATTCCTCCTCAAGAGATTATGAAAACGAGGATTCTTCAGTCGAAAAACAACGAAACGCATGTTCTGGTTAGCTTTGAAAGTGAAAATACAAGAAATATATGGTAATAGAGGCAAGGAAAAAAAAAAGGGCACAATAACAGTGAAGGAATGCAATATTGGAGACTCTGAGAGGAAGATATTTGTGAATGAGGATTTGCCGAGGGATACAAGGCAGCTGTTCGACAACGCTCACAAACTAAAAGATAAAGGTTACCAATTTGTGTGGTGTAAAAATGCAAAAGTTTTTGCACGCAGAGAAAATGGCTCATACAGGGTGATTCAAAAGTAAGCGGCATCCTTTTGGGGGCGTATTCCTTGCATAAAAATAAGACAAAAAGTTCCTATTAACATGGGTCCGGAAATGCTTCCTAAGGGAGCTACGCCCCTTCGAATAGGACACCTGAAAGACGTGTTTTTCTGTATAACTTTGAAACCCTTCACAAATGGATTTTGAAAATTGGTGTATTTTATAAACATTTGATGGCAATTAAGATACTAAATTGAAATTTCAAAAATCTTAATCAGTGGCGTTACATACTGGGGAGGGTGAGGGTTAAAATTTCCCTATTTTTTTCTACTCGTCAGGTTTTTGCGATTCTGATCAAAAATTCAGAAAGTTTATAATTTTTTACATAGAAAAGCTACTCCCGGTTCAATTCAATACAGCGTACCGTTTGCGAGAAAATTGACTTTGAAAATTTTCTGATTTGCGTATGTTTCGCAAAAACCTGACGAGTAAAAAAAAATAGGGACGTTTTCACCCTCCCCAGTATGTGACACTGATTAAGATTTTTGAATTATCAATTTAGTATCTTAATTGCCATCAAATATTTATAAAATACACCAATTTTCAAAATCCATTTGTGAAGGGTTTCAAAGTTATACAGAAAAACACGTCTTTCAGGTGTCCTATTCGAAGGGGCGTAGCTCCCTTAGGAAGCATTTCCGGACCCATGTTAATAGGAAATTTTTGTCTTATTTCTACGCAAGGAATACGCCCCCGAAAGGATGCCGCTTACTTTTGAATCACCCTGTATATAAAAGATATTTCCCAAATTCAGAGGTTGGGGGGGGGGACCCAAACTATTGAGTAAAATATAATGCATATTCGAATGGATATTTCTGAATTTAACAATTTAGAAGCATACAATAATGCCCTTAGAATAGATACGTGCAATGATAATTTGAACATTCTTTATTCAAATGCTCTGAAAAACAGTGGCGGTCCATAGATGATTTTCTGGGGGGAGTAACGGATGACGGGAAAACCGAAAAGTGGCGAAAGGCTCCCCGCCGGAGGCTAAATTTTTTTTGGTGCCACCCCAAATTTGCACCCAAAATTCGTTTAAAACACGCCTCGGGCAAAAATGTATCCCGATGCCGTCAAAATAGTTATACAGGGTGTCCACTTAGTGCGATATCGGACTCGGACAATATATCCTTACATAGGGTGATGCAAGAAAAAAAAAATTAATTACAAAGTTGTTTGACTCTCTAAGGAACATTAGGTAGTTAAAAATTTTGTTGAGGTTTCGTCTCCTTGATACATAATTAGATTGATTCTTGGGTATGGTAACGTGGGTTAGGAATTAAAACAGTCTTTCTCCTGACTTGAAAAAGTAATAATTAAAGTTACGAAACGGTGTCAGGAGAAAAACTGTTTTAATTCCTAACCAAAGTTCCTATACCTAAGAATCAATCTAATTAGTTAAAAATATTTTTGAATATACAGGCCACAGGGTGCTCTGTAAAAATGAAGTATGCGACAAAACTTCGTTATTTTATATGAAAATCTGATAACATTCTTCTTCGCAATACTGTACACAAAACCAAACAACCATGACTCATCTTTTTCCAAATGGAATACCCTTTTTTCACTGTATAGTAGTAGGTAGGGTAAATCGAGGAGAGATGGACCAGTAGGAGAGACGGACCACCCGAAATTTCTCGCCCACTGTGGCAACAATGCTATCCGCGTTGATGTAAAAACATGCAACGGCTTTGGTTATTGATCGGGAGTACGATTATTTATAATTTTATGCGACATTTTCGAAGTTATCGGGCAAATTCGTTTTCCAACGTTAGTGAAATTTCAGAAGGTGTTTTTCTTTAAAGTGCAACTTGACTTGAGGTGACTTTTAGGTGAAAGTTTGTACATTTTATGAGCAGGTATGTATTCTGGCATGCACCTAACCTCAAAATCGTAGCGTTCATGTAATTTAGTTCTTGGAAATTTACTAGTTCATCTATCCTCCACTTTCAGAACAGACGGACCAGCAGTGTATAGTAGAGATGGACCAATGTCTTTTGTTACAGAATAATGCCTAATCAGTACACCCGCAAGCGGAATGTGCCTCAAAGAGGTTCTTGGTCCGCGGAAGATTTAGTTTCTG